AACAACAATTTCCCGGAGCTCCGTTTTAGCAGCCACGGGTTTGCCAGCCGTTGCCTGGCTTCTGAGTGATGCTATGCTCCCGTATCCTAATGATTGCACGGGTGGTGCGAGATCGGTTGCAGGAGGTACGGCGTACCAGAGATCCAGAATACCGGCCCAAGACGTCGCCCGAGCACCTTCTCTGTTGGGCGCGAGTTCAAGGCGGTGCAGTCGTGCGGAGGTACGCGACTTCCTCGGAGTATCCAGGGCTGGAACGAGCATTGCACGCATTGTTCTTAGAGTGGAGAAGCAGGCTGGTGGTGATGTTCTCTGTACCAGGCAGGTGATCATCCAAAGTGCTCGCGCGGATGGGCCCCCACTGTTGCGACCAGCAACGAGGGGGGTGCAGGCGAGGAAGCACTGGCGGACATGCCAAGGCACCCTGCCACCCCAGAGTGACAAGAGTGATGCCGCTAGAGCTGTAGCAGTGGCGCGACAATCCTCCATCCGAGCCAAGAAACGGCACGAGTGGCAGGCCAAGAACCAGGAATGGAGGAGCAGCAGGAACGTACAGCATCGCGACGCCTTCTGCGACCTTGACTTCACCATGGTCAGCGGCCATACCAAGGACAGCGACCTTTGTCACAAGTGCGGTGTACACAAGCGGCCCCCGAACGTGCCAAGCCCGACAAAAGTCACGACGAAGAAGCTGATGACCGTCGCTCGGGCCCTGTCAAACAAGAAGGTTGAGCAACAGCGAAATGATAAGCAACGGCGACGTCGGCTTCGTATACGGACCGGCCCAGCCAAGTTCGAGGAGCTCAAGCGCAGGACCGCCGAGGTGGCCCGTACGAAGTACGCGGAGACCAAGAGTGGACACACAAGTACGGAAAGACGGCATGGCACAAACGCCTGACCAAAGAATCCAGAGAGAGACGGTGGGCCAAGGCGGCACGCGTGCAGCGCCAGGCCTTCTGTAGAGGAACTACGAGCGCAAGGAGCGCCTCACGCGGCCGGAATCTCTGAGTGCGGCCTCAGCGAGTTCGACAACGGCGAGCTCGACATCCGTATCTTCGTCATCGTGAATATCCATGGGTGGGAGCGGCGATGCGGACCCGCTCATTCAAGGAGGAGAAGGAGGAGAAGGAGGAGAGGTGGATCCCACCCTGCCTGGTGTGAGACTTAAGCCGGCCTCAGTTGGGGCCATCAAAGAGGAGAGTGTTCAAGCTTTGAGCTCCCTCACAATCCAGGAGATTCGCCATCATGAAGTCAAGCCTCGTTGGTTTATCAATCTTGCACGGTCATACAGCTGGGGAGTTGCCTGCAGTGGCACTCCAGATCGACGAGCTGATGGATCGGTTGTACAGGGTGGATCGGCAGTTCTTTCGAAGAAAATTGGATTGGCAAAATCCCGGCGATTCGAGAGAAGCAGACGAGCCACAGAGCTATTGCAATCAGAGCTACTTCGTGTGCAGTCGTCTCGTTTCATGGCCCTTCCAGAAGAGACGACTCGCGGCCCACTTCTGCCTTGAAGCGGTGCCAGGAGTTGCCAAATGGTACGGGTCCTCTCGGGGGACCCGAACTGATTCCCGAGGTCTTCTGGTAAGCTTAGCTTCGGGTGGAACTCAGCAAGAGTCGCATTTCCCACGACGACCGCTGGCAGACGAGACGCCTGAGATGGACGGGAGGCCTCGGCGGCACCCACGCTCACCAGAGCTCAAAGCTCCTCCCTGGGATCTCTCGCCATGGCCTCGGTGTGTACAGTCATCGGCCTGACCTAAGGAACGATAAATAGGGAACGAAGCCCCTTTTTATCCCAAGGAATAACGCATAAGGAACGATAAATAACAAATAACGCATAAGGAACTGTAAATAATGCATGCAAGCCTAAGGAACAACCGAGCCCCTTTTGAAAAGTAAATGTTCCTTATTCCAGCCGCTCACTGTATGAAATTGGTGACCGTGCTGTCCCTGAGCACTCTCTTCAGAGGCTCCGTCACACCGCCCTGCGTATGCCCCACAAGGCCGCATTCGCAAGCGAAGCAGGACTGGCATAGGTGCAGGAGGAGGATGGCCTGATCCAGACGCCGAGCAAGCGAACGAGCATTAAGGTTACATGGAGGGCCTGGCACGCCAGGGCCGAGCAAGCTCTCAAAAGTGCTGGAACCCGCCAACGGGTCGCACGCACGAGGAAAGCAGAACGCTAAAAGGGATCAACCACCGCATCCAGGCCTACGCCCCGTCCGCCCGCCCATGACCTGAACGAATCGACCGTTTACGTCGCCTTCGGAAACTGCACCGAACCCTCGATGGACAAGTTCGTTTCCGTGCTGGCGTCGTGAGCTCCCACGATGCACGGCACTTCTCGGCGCACGTGCGAGCAGCTGCTGACGGCATCGTGCTGGACATCGACGGCTACCCGTCGCACGGCCAGGCGCTCGAGGCGGTCGGCCGAGCGGCTACAGTCATCGGCCTGACCTAAGGAACGAGAAATAAGGAACGAAGCCCCTTTTTTATCCCAAGGAATAACGCATAAGGAACGATAAATAACAAATAACGCATAAGGAACTGTAACTAACGCATGCAAACCTAAGGAACGACCGAGCCCCTTTTGAAAAGTAAGTGTTCTTATTCAAGCCGCTCACTGTATGCATGAGGTGAAGAAAACAGCGGAAGGAAAGCGGAACTCTTGGGCTCCAGAGTTCTTCAATGGACCGCTGGCGGCTTCAAGGTTGCGTCGCCGTTCTTCAGACAGGCGAGCCCTGCGGCTGGATTCGACTCGGCGGGGATCAGGAATGAGCGGGAGGTGCACTGGTGTCCGCAAGGGTACGAGGCAGGTCCCAAAGTTCAACTGTGGAAGAAGTGGGCTCAGACGTCTACCAGGCCTTGTCCCAGGAGCACGCATTCGAAAGAGTGGATCCCCGACTACGACACGCTCATTTGTGTCCTGAAGAAGAGTCACGGAGCTGCTGGTTTCGACGGGTGGTATGCCCGCGAACTCAAAGTCCTGAGTGCCGCCACCCTCTTCATCATAAACGAATTGTGTGAGATGCGGGTGGCCACCAGACGTGCTGATGTAGCTTGTCGGGGAAAGCTGGGGCAAGACATCCTGACCCAGAGCGTCGCCTGGCGTGCCGTGGGAATTCCCCAAAAGAAGATGACCACAAAAGCAGGCCAATATCAGTTGCGTCGGCATCTGCGCGGGTGTGATTGAGTGCGTTGGGCGTTGCGCAAATCACAGGTTGGTTTTGTATGTTGTATATGCCTGGCTCGCTGACGGTGCCGACCGTGGTGCCGCAACGGACGGTTCGAAAGCTTACGACTCGATCGAGCATGAAGCTGATGCCGCCGTATTCGAGGAGGAGGTCCCCGCCTCTGGCGACGCCTCCTGCATCGCTGCTTGGGGTAGTCCGAGGACATGCTGCGTCAACAACGAAGTCTGCCAGGCCCGTGGGGTCACCCGTGGGCTTACTGGTGCCATGGTCGCCACCCCTCCTCCTCCTCCCCCGCCTCCTCCTCCTCCTCCTCCTCCTCCTCCTCCTCCTCCTCCTCCTCCTCCTCCCCCGCCTCCTCCTGCCCTGGGTTTGTACGCCAGCCCACGGATGGGCATATGTGGACGATCGTAGCCTTCATGATGCAGGGGCATGGGTCTCGGCAGCTTGAGCGGGGTCTGGAGGTCACTCAGATGTTTCGACGAGCCCATCGGGTGCTCCGAAAATCGGAGCAAGCGTCAGACGTGGGAGCAGGACAAGCAGACGAGACCGAGCACCTAGCACGACCATGGGGCCCCCAGGCGTTCACAGCCGTCCGAGAGGTGGGTGGGAGTGGCGACGGCGTGCCCTGCACCAACTGCGTGCCTTCCCTGGAACGCCTGGAGGCTGGCGAATGCGTATGTTCGCGAGGAGGATCAGGAGGAGGATCAGGAGGAGGAGGAGGAGGAGAAGGAGGAGGAGAAGGAGGAGGAGGAGGGGGAGGAGCAGGAGGAACCCGTTCCTCGAGCCCTCGTGGGACAACTCCTCCAGGCTACTCTCAAAACAGGGCGCGCGTGGCGGTGCGCAGGGAGGTGGGGGGGGGCCAGCGAGTGCAGCTCACCCGATGTACTCGCCTGCGCTGCAGAGTTGCAAGGCTGTCCCTGGTGAGAGTAGTACTCCGAGCGGTTCAATAGTCGGAGGCCTCCGAGCGCATCTCGATGCTTTAGATCTGAAGGTGATTGCGCATGATCTGAAGTGGGGCCTCGAGTTGGGCAGAACTCCTGACGATGATGGCCGCTTCTTCAAAGTTCCACCAGCTGTCCGTGGCGATCAATGGCCGGTCTGGACTGGTACGCCTGAAGGCGAGCATGTGGTCAGATCGATAGCACGTATCGGATGTCTTCGGGCTGTGCATAAGACACGACATGATGCAGAAGGGCTCGAGGACGTGGACGTGTCTGCTCAGACCTCGACGCGTCGGCAGAACTCGAAGTGCTGTAAATGGTGCTATTGCCCTCTGCCGTCCATGAAGCAACTCGTCCAGGAGTGCCCTCGGTTTCACGGCCCTCGTCAGGACATCCTCGCAAAGTGAAGTGTGTCTGGTGATGTTTGGAGCACGTGTCCGAGAGTTACCTCAAAGAATGGCTGGATCACATACCGATCTTGTCCTGCAAATGCATCCTGCCTTACTTCGATGCCCACCGATGTGCGCATGCTGGGTATCACGGTGGTGGAGGAGGGTTTCGAGCCAGGAGATCGTGCACATCATCGTCGAAGATAGCTTCTGCTACGAGAGTCTTAAACCAGAATACAGTTGCTTCGTTCACCTACGCTCCTCCTCCTCCTCCTCCTCCTCCTCCTCCTCCTCCTCGTCCTCCTCCTCTTTGTTTCTTTTCCTCCTCCTCCTCCTCCTCCTCCTCTTCCCCTTTTTCTCCTCCTCCTCCTCCACCTCTTTCTCCTCTGTCTCCTTCTCCTCCTCCTCCTCCTCCTCCTCCTCCTCCTCCTGCTCCTCCTCCTCCTGCTCCTCCTCCCCGCGGTGGATCCCCAGTCCTCCGTGGCGTCCACCTTCACCAAGGACACTGGCTTCCCCAAGGCTTTCAGGCTCCCGGCCGCTTTCTCGAACTCAGGGGCCAGCTTCTTGCAGTGGCTGCACCAGGGCGCGTAGAACTCCACCAGCGTCTGCTTATTGTCCTATAGGGGCGCCCGCCCAAGGGCACAAATTCGTCCCGTTCCCACCTGCACCGACTTGCCCCTCGGCACCCCCCTTCCGCAGGGCAAGTGTTCTCTGCAACCACCGCTTGATCACTCTCTGAATTTCTGGGCGAGATGCCTCAGGGCATACAGTGTGAGGGTGCGCCGCTGCTGGATCTCCCCAAGAGGGGGGGGGGGTTACGACCCCCCCCCTTCCCCGCTCCGTCGTCGGGACACCCCCCCCCCCTCCCCCCCCCCTTCCCCGATCCGTCGTCGGGACCCCCCCCCCCCCCCCCTTTCCCCGATCCGTCGTCGGCGACCCCCCCTCCCCTCCCCAACTACTTTCAAAAAGGGGGGGGGGTCCGACCCCCCCCCCCTCCCCCCCTTTCGCCACGCCGCCCCCTGACTCCGGAACCCGACCCCCGCCACCCCTACCCCTAGTCCTCACCCTAAGCCAAACCCCGAATCCTAACCCCAACCACTAATCCCAGCCCCACAGAGTACTCACTACTCATTACTCACTACCCACTACTGACTACTCGCTATTCGCAAATTCACTTCTCACTACCCCCTACTACTACTACTCACGACTCACTACGCACTATCCACTACTCACTACCCACCACCCACTTATCGCTACTCACTACTCACTACTCACTACTCCCTCCTCTCTACTCACTACTCACTACTCACTCCCCACTACCCACTACTCAATACTCACTACTCACTAAGCACTACTCACTACTCCCTACTCACTACTCACTAATCACTACTCATTACCCACTACCCACTATCCACTACTCACTACTCACTACTACCTACTCATTGCCCACAAATCACTACTCACTACCCACTACTCGCCACTCGCTACTCACCACTCCCTACACAATACTGACTACACAGTACTCAGTACTCACTACTCGCTACTCCCATACTCGCTACTCAATACTGACTACTCATTCCCCGCTACTCACTATTCACTACTCACTACAGACTACTCCCTACTCACTGATCACGACATAGTCTGTAGTCACTAGTCACAACTCACTAGTCACTAGTCACTAGTCACTACTCAATACCCACTACCCACTACTCGCCAATCGCTACTCACTACCCACTATTCGCTACCCATTTCATATTACTCAGTGCTCACTACTCCCTACTCCCTACTCCCTACTCCCTACTCGCTACTCACTACTCACTACTTGCTACTCTCTCCTCGTTACTCACTCATCACTACCCACTACTCACTACTCACTACTCTCTCCTCACTACTCACTACTCACAACGCCCTACTCGCTCCTCACTACTCACTACTCGCTACTCCCCACCCACTACTCACCATTCACTACCCACTGCCACTACCCACTACTCTCTATTCATCACTACTCACTACTCACTACTCACTACGCACTACTCACTACTCACTAATCACTACTGACTACTCACTACTTACTGCTCACTACTCACTACGCACTACGCACTACGCACTACCCACTACTCACTACTCACTAAGCACTACTCGCCACCCACTACTCACTACCCACTACTCACTACACACTACTCATTGCTCCCTACTCCCTATTCAGTACTCACTACTCGCTACTCGCTACTCACTACTTACTACTCACTACTCGCCACTCACTACTCACTTATCAGGACACACTACTCACTATTCACTACTCACTACTCCCCACTCCATACTCCCTACTCCCTACTCGCCACTCATTACCCACTACTCACTACCCAATACTGACTACTCACTACGTACAAACTCACTACTCACTACTCACCACTCCCTACTCCCAACTCCGTACTCCCTACACGAGGGGGGGGGGGTCCGACCTCCCCCCCCCTTTCCAGCGCCAAGGGGGGGAGGGGGGGGGGGTCCGGACCCCCTCCCCCCTCCTTCAAGGGAGGAGGGGGGGGAGGGGGGTTCGGGAGACGCTATTGGTCTCTTCACCGGCCAAGTGGGACCCTTCACCGGCCAGATGGGACCCATCATCGGCTGATCCGTTCACCGGCTGATTGGGTGTTTCACCGGCTACGTCTTTCAATTGAAAATTGATTGTAGTGTTCACGTGTACGCCACCAAGAACGAGTGTGGAGTGCTAAGGGTTGCCACAACCGCTTCTGCAATTAATTGTTTTTTGTTGTTTTTTGGAGGCCGGTGAAGAGACCAATTCTGGTCGTGTACCAACGTGGCATATGCATGGTGGGAGGAGGAGGAGGAAGAGGATGCGTAGGAGCAGGAAAGAGTAGGAAGAATAGGGAGGGGAGGTCGGTGGAACTCTCCCCAAGGTAAGGTATTATGCCAAAGGGTACCTCATGTAAGCATGCAATACATGTACATAACCAT